CACACACAGCGGATTTATTTTTTATATACAAACATGGTATTTTTTGAAAGCGTGCGAGACTGCAAATAGCAATATGTAATATGCAGTAGTAACGCAGTCAAATTATTAGAAATTCCTAACGTGATAATCGATTTATTTCGTCGTATTTTTTGCTATAAAAGTATTATTATTCTGAGATCAAAACAAAAATTTATTTCTAAAGGAATAATGTATGAGGCAGTATTATTGAAGTTACTGCTTGGCGCTAAACTGTATGGTATACGTTTATTCTACAATTTTAATTAAGAGTTTATACTAAGATCTGTTGTTCATATAAAAGCAAATGTTTATTAATCTAGTTATGTATATTTATATATAATATATATATGTTAATTGCATGAATAGGTCGGTAATGCGATTTTAATGTGTTTATTGAAATTTTTCTACAAATTAATCTTTTTTTTTTATGCGGCGTTTGTGAAATGTTCAAATAGTTCATACGAATATTTTCTCAGCTCACAGACGATGGAATATGTCAACAAAATATTATATTTATCTTTGTTGAAGCTATGTCATGTTGTGTAATCAAGTATTCAACAAATACAGATACTGTAAACTTGCCGCTGCAATTTCGAGCAGCGGGTACTCGCTTTTATTATTAATTTGTTACATTCTTATGTTGAAAAAAATAAAGAATATACTTTAAGAGAGAACTTGGCGAATCAATAATAATAGAATAATAATAATAGAATAATAGAATAATTTTATTGAAAGCAGATTGAGTGAAGACAATAATCTAATCAAAATAAATGAAGTTTTTCTTTTCTCATTCGTATTTCCCAAATCGTAACTTTAAATCTTAACAATAATTTGCTCCAAAGTTTTATCGAATCTCGCGCGAAATTGGAAGAAGAATAAAGTGAAGCTATGAAGTTTACAAATCCTGACGACTGCGCTATCAGTCTCATCTTTCATTCTCGAAAGTAAAAAGATTTCGCAAACTCATGAAATGTCAACGACAAAGTGACAGAATCTCGAAGGTAAGGTTCGATGAGAAAAGAGAAGTGTCTAAAAGTGTCTCTCTGAAGAGACACTGTCCTCTGTTGGCGTGCTGCAACAGCATTGAAAGAAGACTTAGGCGAAGGTCACATCCGTTCGTGCGGCGGATCAACGGCAGCTTCTCGAGGCGACCTCGTCAAGATAAACCGTGACGGAGACTCCGCGTCGCCGTGTTGACGTCACGATCCCAAAACGGTCGTTTGCCATTGCGAGACCGAAGGCGTCCCATTTATTTAGCTGCACTTTCTCGCTCCGCCGCCGCGTGGTCCGTGGTGATCCGCAGCTCCGAGCTCGGCTCAAAGTGGCCTGGAGTGGCCCCGAGTGGCAGCGACAAGAGAATAGAGGGACGGCACGCGCGACAGAGAAAGAAAGAAAGGAAAATCGACAGAGACAATAGAGAAGGAAACGGAGGAGGCGGCGAGTTGTTGAAGAGTTGATCAGTGATGTCCGCATGGCGCATGGCGACTATGGCGAATCCTGATCAATCCTGATGCGAACTGCCCGGAATCTTACACGCGCTACAACAACGACGACGATTACGACACAGCAGCAGAAGCACTTGCCTTCCTCCATCCAGGACGAGATGTCCGCGAGACATTGGTGAGCGGCGAGCGTGCGCCGGGGAACCAGTTCATAACCGCGCCGTTTCCTCGAAGGTCGAGGTATTCTCAGTCTTCACGAGGTGAAAGTGAGAAGTCGCCGTCACGAGGAACGCGCGAACCAAACCGAGACGAGCGAGCGAGAAAGCGAGAGTTTGTTCCTGGAGCAGGTGTGGGCAGAGTAACCCAGCGTGCGAACGTCGGGCGAGCATGCTCGCGCCAGCGCGCCCAGGACATGCCAACGTCTCGCGTGGGTGGCGCGGCTTGTCGGCTAACCTAATTCGCTAAGAGTTCGCGAGTTTTGACGCGCTTCCCCGATGGACGCGAATTACTACACGATGGCAGCGGACGGCAATTGGGACAAGGTCTGCCGGCTCTGCTTGCAGGAGAAGAACGAGATGCTGCCCATCTTCGGCAACGAGGCTGTGCAGCGCAAAGTGGTGCAGAAGCTGCGCGCCTGTCTACCCGTGCTTGTGTACAAAACTGATCCGCTGCCAAAGCAGATCTGTCAGTTCTGCGCGGCCAGGTTAGACGATGCATACGGATTCAGACAGCACTGTTTGAATGTCTATAAAGAAATGCACGCCGTATTGCTGAGGTATAAACAGACGGAATCTGTCCAGATATACCTTGACGCGATGAGAAACTCATCGGATCCATGCCAGGTTTGTCAGATAGACGATTTTCTGTCATAAAGATAATTGCGTATTTTTTATCATAGACATTTAATCAAAGATGATATTGATTCGTGAAAATTAATTTTCCTTCTTGTTATTGTTTCAAACTCCAGGTGCAACTCTGTAAGTCTAGAGCCCCTCCACCGTTGGTTCCTTTATCAGGTGCCTTGCTCTTTGACGACTCGATTTCGATTGATCAAGCTAATCAAGATTATCAAAATATCTGCATGGAAATCTTACCTGAATTGCCATGTGAAGTGGAAATTAAGGAGGTGAACACAGATCCATATCTGAATGTCGAAAACACCATTTGCGAATCATCGAATAAAAAGTGTAAATTATCAGAGATGTTCGACACGGATATACAAATGAAAGTAGATGCTGTTCCTATGTCTAACATGGAAGAAGCGAGAACTAAACAGGAGTATGTGAAAGAAGAGAAACAAACTAGTATTCTAGAGCAAGCATTAACTGGCAATCTGATAATGAATAATCATCAGCAATCTAGAGCAAAATTGACTTCAGAATGGTGGTGTTCACCATGTAACAATTATTACAAGTCTGTATTATTTATTTGTCAATAACAACGTATTATTGAGATTATCATAGAGTCACTGTAAGCTTATAATTTCCAGAACAAGGGATAGTCTAATGAAGCACATGCAGTTGCACTGCCCACGTGTATATAGTTGTAGGACGTGTCTATTGACCTTCGAATCCGTCGAGATCTTGGCGAAACACGAGGCCGATAATCATTTTAAAATCAGACTGGAGTTCACGGAAAATGATATGAAGGATTGCGAACAGTGCGATCGTCAGTTTGTGAGCTGGGAGATGTTGAGACAACACAGATTGCGTGATCATCAGACATTAATCGAAAATGGAAGCAACACGTGCTGTTCATTGTGCAATAGGTAATTTGTGTCTCAAAAAAATTGTCTTATAGACTACTGTAATCTCAGTATTTTAAATGCATGTGCTCGTTTTTTAGATCTTTCCCTACAGAAGAATCTTATCAAAAACACATTTTGTTACACCAAACAAACGCGACAATGTCAGAGAAATTATCTGTTTTGGAATCCACAATCACAAAAACAATGGAACGATCAAAGGAGATTAAAGGGGACGAACAATACTATGAAAATATAAAATATCCTCTTGTATGTCCCACTTGCGGAAAGGTATAAAATCGCTATTATATTTTTGTGGAAGCCTTACATGTCTCACATTTTGTCTCCACCTATCATTTTTGTTCATTTTTGCAGATTTGTACGCAGCAAAGCGCATTATCGAATCACATGCGCACTCATGAACCGAAGAAATTCAAATGCGACATTTGTGGCCGGTCATTCACACTTTTTATACGCCTAACTGCGCACAGATTGGCCGAGCATAATAAAGAACCAATGATGTCACCAGTTTTGTCAGCAGTTGAGCAAGAGGAAGCCTTAAATGCTGAGAGAGAGGCAAGAGAAGCGAGAGAAGCTAAAACTCGCGTCAAAAAAGCTTACTCTGAGGTTTGTCTCTTTCTCTTTTTGATCATAAATTGCTATGAGAAACAATATCACAATTCATATTACCTTGTATCTGATTATATTTATTTTTAAATAGCAATTGCATTTAAAACAATCTTGTGTAGGAAAAAATTAACAGAATTGACCGGGCGAACTCAGAATCTTTCATACTACTGTGATACTTAATCTGCATAATCATAATGGCTCTTCATCAATAATTATGTTCCCAATCTCCTGCTAATAAATAAATGAAACTTATCTTTATTTTCTTTTTATTTTCTTATACTTAGCCCTAGTTCTTGAAAGAAAATTGATTAATTTTTCCTGCATCGTAATTGTGCAACGTCACTCTATAATTGAACATTGCGAAAATGTAAAACAAAATAACATTTATCATGATGTAAGATTATTACAATAGCATTCTTCTATTACTTACAGTAATCAGAAATTGTGTGTGAATTTACTGCAATATGTAATCCTTGATTACAGTTTAAATCCTTGATTTAAGTTATAATTGCTGCATTTCTTTTTATGTACAGATGATAGAGAAAAATGATATTCCAATAGATGATGAATCCCCGGCTAAACGCGCCTTTGGTGGATTTAAAAATGTGGCTAGATGCGCCATTTGCTTGCAATGGTTTAACGACCATACGACGATGTTAAAACACCTTCAAACGCATCAAACGGCAAATTATAATAGTTACGTGTGTCAAGTTTGTAATAAATCATTTAAGGAACAGTCGCAGCTGTCTAAGCACGAGGTAAGGTCCCAGGATTATTTTCGTTACATATTGTTATACATTCATTCTCGTTGCATTTTTTAAACGCGCTATCTCCTGATCGGTGCAGGCTCGTCATAAACGCTTAACGCTCGATAATGCCTCACTGTACACACTGTCCGCTGTTTGCAACAAATCATTCATGGATCAGACGCATCAAAAGACGCACACAGTGGATAAAACCTATCTCTGTGCGAAGTGTAATAAAATCTTTTTCAAACAAGTATCACTACTTGCTCACCAATGCACGGGCGGAGCAGTTCATAAAGTGCTTGGAAAAAAACCTGCAGGGAAGTCTCGGCAGAAAACACCGTCTCAGAATGGCAACAAGACGTACAAATGTTCGAAATGTGATGCGGTTTTTGCGAGCTCGCAATCACGGAACGCTCATATGAAAATGCACGCTGAATATATGCGCGGAAATGCGGTACGTAACGAATGATATCGCGCATTTTTGATGACAACAATATATGTTATTTTAATATATTCCAGGCACAAACACAAGAAATTAAAGTCGATGATGAGCCAATGCCAGAACTGCATCCGGAGGTATTGTTGGAATACAACGGCTCCCCTATCGAGCCGAAGATTGAAATTAACGAGCAGAGTACACCTCCACCTCTTAAACGGACTCTCGTTAAAACCAGTAACGGGTAAAGAGTGAAGCATTACATCTTTGTAGTAAAAGAGTTTGTGTTAATTAACATTCAAAAAAGTACTCTAATTTTGTACGTGATATATTTACTTTCAGATATCGATGCGGTGTATGCCGGTCACCATTCGTATTGAGGGAACTAGCCGTGGCGCATTTGAGATCCGCACATCCCGTAATGCCATATCAGTGTCCTTATTGCAAAAAACGTTTTATAACGCAATACTCATTCACCCATCATATCAAAACGGAGCATCCCGATGAGCCTGAAAAATAAAAATCGCGAATAGAAGTGAATAGATTGAAACTATATCACAGCATGTGCCTCGTATTATATGTGAGAATCCTGTTTATAGATTATATAAAATGCAACGTATGAAGTGTATATTAGCCTATGCGGTCCTCTATATGATGTGTCGATTTACGGTTGTTAATTGGCCTTTGAAGACTTCTATTGTATTACTGCAAACGTACAACGTTGAAGTGTTTGTTACCCGAGGCTATTAATATTAGTACTTACACTGAACGTGCCTGTACAAGTGCTTTGTTTTACAATACTTATACTAATAATCTGAGATAAATTTTATTCATAAAGTTCTACTCGAGAAGAACCAGTTTCGAAATGACAAAAAGATGCGATCTCGATGCGTGGAGATCAAAATATTTAGATCTCTTAGTTTCAGATAATTTCATGATGATTAGCAACGATGGAAGTTGAATTGCGCAATTTGTATCATATGAATTTTACATTTTATAGATTTAATTATGTACATTTCACTCGTGACATTATAATTAAATCTAGCTACAGTAAATATATCGAGAATTCTGAAATCTCTCGATTACGATTATTCTAGAAACGTTCTAGGCTCATTCACTGCAAACAATGTGTTCGATTTTACTGTTACACACGCCGTTGTAAGTTATATTGCGTTATTAAAGCTCGATATCGCCAGCGGTACCATGGCAAGCATCGAGGATTCTAGGATTTTTAATTCGTTTAAGACACATTCCCTCTTAAGCGATTGTTTCGTGTATCTATGTTGACGTATTCTATTTTGTATAGAATATCATATACGGTTCCAATAATTACTTTGCAACACAATTTATTGTAGTTTCTCTTTGAGAATATACCGAAGACTGTCGTAGCGACGGCAAGTGAATGATTAGGCGTTTCTATCCGACAGCGATGCTGTGTGTAATTTAAGCGTACACACAGTCTTTATAAGTTTATTTTATACACCTGATTTACAATAAACTATTATTAAAAATACAGACCCAAGCGCAGAAGAGACTTATATGAATATTTCAAATATATGCTATATATATTTTTGATTTTTTGTTTGTCCTTTTTCGCTGCATTGAGATTGCATTAAAACAAAACAGATAAATAATTTGTCCTGTATTCAGTTTTATTGTTAATATTAAACTTGTCTTGAATGAAAATTTAGAACAAATTATACTGATAAGATAATAAGAATCAGTTTCCAGTGTAGTGTTTTACAATTTAAATTCACAGATAAGTTAATTATTTTGTAAATTAACAGAAAAGATTTAAATATAAAATAAAACATGGAAACTTAAATAAAGAATAAGAATAAAAACTTTAAAAAGGAATATATGAGTATTAGAAAGAACAATATTGTTTTATACTATAGTGGCATGTTTGTACTTTTTTTCTTAGATTTTTTTCAAGAAATTACTATAACTATACATATAAAATATGTACATATAAATATGTATATGTATATGTATATATACTATACATATAAAAAAATATTTTAAAAAATCATAATACAATATTTGGTTTTATTTGCCGGATATTTGCCGGACGAATACAAAAGAATGGCGCTGAAAATTGTCCCCATCATTTCAAGAGGGAAATTAGATCCCCTCGTACGCTGCTGGAGCACTGAATGCTGGATGGCACTAAATTTAAAGTTGTGCAGGTTGAATTTCGTCGTTGCATCCTTTCTGGCTAGACATACGGGGATTATTCAGGTCCGTAAAAAAAAGAATATCATAAATAAAAGAGCTAGAATCGTTTTTTTGAGCGAAAACAGCCAAGTTGCGAATCAAAAAGCCGCGAGAATCGGTCGACGCGGCTAGACAATGTGCGGCTAGGCTATGTATGTATCGATTAAAAGCGGATAACGAGATCTCTTCAGTAACTATGATTCTAGGATGTTGCTTAGGACGCGGTGATGATTTGATGTTTATTAAGGCTAGAAGAAATCTGAAAATTGCTTTCAAAGACAAATTGTACTTGCATGTTTATTTAACATTGCATGCAACATGCAACATTAACATAAATGATTAACAAGCATAAATTGAACGATTATTTCGAAACATCGATATAATTCTGCATCTATTAAACATCAATACTATTTATATCTTTCTCAGTATTCTCTCTTCGTAAGGAGCTTGATTTCATCATGCCGCCGAAACGAACTGCAAAAGCAAAGGTACAAAAAATTAATATATGCAAAATTAACTCAATAAACAAATACTGATGTACTTTATGTCTTGTACTTAAACTCAAATGTAATCTGAAATCTGAATCTTTATATCAAAATCGTTGAAGTATAGCAAGGTATTCTCTCACATACAAGTACGATGTAATTGTGATATAAGAACTGTTATATTTACTCCAATCTATTATGTTACTTATATTTATAGCATTTTGTATTAAATAGCATGAAAAAGTTACATTATAAGTTTTTTCTTGAAATCAGGCTGATTCTTCAAAAGCTAAATCTGGTAAGAAAACAGAAAAATTAGCAGAAAATGGAGCAACAAATAAAAAACGTGTAAATGATGCAAATGAACCTCCCCCAAAGAGAATGAAAGTTGATTCGAAGGGATCGAAAAATGTTGATAAAAGCGATTCGTCCACCGCGAAGAAGGCGAAGAGCCCAAGCGAACCCAAGCAGATGCTGAATAAGACAGACACAAATTTGAACGAAATAGATTTTGAATGTACAAAGATGAACGAGGAAGGAAAGAAATATAATCTGAAAATTTGTACTTGGAATGTTTCTGGAATTAGGGCAGTCATCAAAGTATGTCTATCAATTTCTATTAATTACCGTATTATATTTGTATAATAGTTTTTCTTCTGTATCAATATTTAATCAGAAAAAAGGAATTGACTATATTGTCAAAGAAGATGCAGACATAATCGCTTTGCAAGAAACAAAATGTGACCAGAACAAACTGCCAGAAGAAGTTAAATTATCAGGATATCATCATTACTTTCTCGATAGTAAGATATATATAAAGAGAAATTTATGCATATGCATATAAATTTATATATGCAAATCGTCTATAATTAATAAATGTTTGTAATAAATTTTCATAGGCAAAAAGCCAGGCTATTGTGGAGTTGCTTTGTTCAGCAAGGAAAAACCGATTTCTGTGAAATATGGTTTAAATAATTCTTTCGATAGTGAAGGTAGAATGATTACAGCAGAATTCCCAGAATTTTTTATGGTCAATGTTTGTAAGTTACTGAAATTGAACTCTGATTATAGATTTAATATATTGCAATAGCAAAAATTAGATTATCTATCATTTAGTATACATATATGATGTAAACCAATATATAATTTATCTTTTGTACAATATTTCTATTACTAAAAATATGAATAATAACAAAACATAATAGATGTGCCAAATGCTGGGCAGAAATTGGTAACATTACCAAAAAGATTGGAGTGGAATAAAGCATTCAAGAAATGTATTGAAGAATTAGATCAAAAGAAACCTGTTATCATATGTGGCGACATGAATGTAGCTCATCAAGAAATAGGTATCGATGTTAGATTTGTTTAACTTTACTTTTCTAAATATAAAATCAATATAATTATTAATATACATAGATTAAAATTAACTTATCTCTTGTTATTAATTTTTAGATTTAAAGAATCCCAAAACGAATACTAAAAATGCTGGATTTACTAAAGAAGAACGAGATGATATGACAGATTTCTTATCTGCTGGATTTGTAGATACTTTCAGATTATTATATCCTGAAACAGAAGGTGCATATACATTTTGGTCATATTTTAGCAATGCACGTGGTAAAGATATTGGATGGTAAGTATACATGTTACTTTTATTATTTTATATAATAATATTTTTATTATTTTAGCTTCCGCCTAATTATAACATATAAATATGTTATAGAAATCGTAATATCTTGTATGTAATGATTTCTTAAACCTCTTACAAATACATATATATGTATAAAGATTATTTAATTATAATCAATTTTTTTCAAACTGAATTACATTTGATATTATTTTATTAATTTTTATACCTTTAATAGAGAAATGCTTTTATCAAAATAATTATTATTAATTATAATAATTAAATGATTAAATTTATATAAAATTTTTTAGGCGACTAGACTATTTTTTGGTGTCTGAACGGATCAAGAATAAAGTGTGCGATAATGTTATAAGGAAACAAGTTTATGGTAGTGATCATTGTCCTGTAATACTTTATATCAATTTGTAATTTTAATAACAGTAAGTATGATGTGTTTTATTATATGGAAATGTTAGAATGAAACTTTTCTTACGTGTGAATATAAAACATACAAAATAATAAATTACATTTCCTTATCAAGAAAGATACATGTATTTTATTTTGTATTACTCTGATATTACACAAGAAACGTTCTAAGCCCGTTTGTCCTATAATTTCTTTTCCAAGTAAGACATCCCAACAAATTTTTAAATTTTAAATTAATCATTTTAATCAATAAATTTCATCAAGATAGTAATAAAATGATATTGGGTTCTTAATGAGAAAAATTAAAAGTGATTTTACATTCTTATAAATTTTATTAGAGAAAAAATATTAAATTACAATTGTCTCTTGAAGCTTAAGCTGCTTTTTGCTCTTGGCTTTAACCTGTGCTGCAATACGATCCAAATCCCTGCGTCCCTGACTAGTCAATTTACGTCCACCGGAAGATGCTTTCTCAATGAGTTTCAATTGTTCTAAGCTTTGAAGTGCTTTGCGCGCAACACCACTCGCTGATCGACAAAAATGGCTAGGATGGGTACCGTTGCGTTTTCGTCCACCAAAAATCTTGGTAACTGCACCAACCCCAATTGGGCTACGGATATAAATGTGACGCACCAATGCTGCACACCTGATATAATACCAATCAGGATCGTAGGGGGCTAACTCTTTGAATTTGGCTGTCTTCACAATATCTACCCACTCTGGCACACGCATCTTGCCGGTTCTAAAATTTTGCAAAGTATAATGTCGAATTGCAAGGATTGAATTTTAAACTAGCCTATGTTATATATTCTAAGAAAAATATGCAGTACAGGAGTTTTTCATAAATTTTATATTATACGAACAAGGGAAATTATGGAAAAGATAAATAATTCTAAATGAGAATAATACAGTGATATGTAAGCAAGTTACATAAAATATAATATGCGAGAATAATTAGGTTAGATTCGATGTACTACCGTACATTTCTCACTTACTTTTTGAGGAAAGCTGCAAAGGCTTTCACGAACTTATGCTGATCCACATCTTTTAATGTTACCGATGGCATCTGGAAAAAAATTTAACTTAATAAAACAGTTATTACGAAATAACACGTAGACTCGCCACGTGGATGAAGTTCAAATCGACATTCCCTTACATCTGTAACTTTTTAACTTCGTGAATGATTTCAACTAACTAGATAACTAATAAAAATCGCACAAATTATTTAATTACGTACGTTTTTACATAAATTTTCGTTTTTCCTTCGTTAAATATAAAACTGGTCAATCCGTGCTATCTTATCTCCGTAACACCTTATTGGCTAGCGTGGATAAACATGGTTGATAAAATTTTCATCTGCGCTTTCAGAAATTTCAAGGAAATTTTACTCATTGTAAATTCTCTTTCTTTTTTCACAATATTTTAAATTTATTAGGACATTTATTAGGACATTAATCGCTTATTAGGCAATAAATTTTCAGGATCAGCAAGAGTTCTGTTTTTTGTAGTTGCATTACACTATAAGTGTTACACTTAAAATGAATCAAATATATAATTATATATTAAAAAGAAAAGGAAGAAAGACAGAAAAGTGCAGAAGATTCAATTAAAAAGAACAGGTATATTAGACTTGTTCCTTTTAGGGCTTCTTTCATCAATCTTTGGTTAAAGGTCGGCAGGAGTGACGGGCTAACTCCGACTTGATCTAAAATGATTATCTACTCCTCATTTACAGTGCAGATATGTATCTGTATTCAATTATATTTTGTCTTATATAAAAACGATGTTTCGTCATGAAACTTTGCTAAGATAATTTCTTTTACAATTACGAAGGTACCTACAGAGCCAATTTTGCAATTTAGCTCTTAAATAATTAAAATAAATGTAACTATCTACTCCTTATTTATAGTGCAGATATATATTTGAGTACACCCATATATCATTTCGTAGAAGCAATATTCTGCCTTTTTTTACGTATTTTTTATAAAATTATGACTCTTGCTACAGAGTGGAATTTTGCAATTTGGCTCTTAAAAAAAGTTTACAATAGATGAAAATATTTGCACCTTATTGTTCTATAGCAAATCTATTTACGCATAAAATGAATTATTTATATTCATACATTTTTTTACAAAAATCGCTCTGTAGCTTTTATCAAGCAAATATTCTGATTACAAATATCATAATTATATAGCTTTTCTCGCAGTATTTTGGTCGTAATATGGGTGAAAAAGAATTCATCTCCGATAGAGGTCTCCATAGTCTCTCCTGCCTTAAAATATATATATATATATATACATATAAAGTTTGACAAAAGCAAGATAGAAAGTGCAGTCCAGTGCAGGAATAGAAAACAAATCTAAGGATTGACAACAATGATTGATGTGTTATTTCAGTATTCTTTCTACATTGATATGGAAGAGTACGAGGCATTTAACTGTGAAAAATAAATTTGTTTTTATTCTTAAATTAGTGACAGAACCCGACAACGATTGAAAGTGAAGAATAAGTATATTAATTCTTGCTAAGAATAGCATATTAATTCTTGCTGACGTGCAATGTTCAGCAATAAGAAAAACAGCTTACCACCAAGACCTCATATGCCAAATCATGAACATATGCTGGAAGACCTCAATAAAGCCGTGGTGGATGATGTAGCATTCAAAATCATAAGTAAATATTAGTAATATTAGATCAATAAAAAAATATATATGACAACGTTCATTTTTAGTCTTTTCTAAAGTGCAAAACGAAAAATTCAAGAAGAAAAATTTTAAATTTATCATTATATTCGCATTTGTTACTTAGTATTTTGTCTGAAAAGATCAGAAAATAGATTATATTCCTACAAATGTCATTTCAGATGATTTATGCATAAAAGAATCGTATGGTCTGACAAGTAATAACACAGATGATATATATAAAAAAGTAAAAACCTATTTAAATACCAAACAGCAACTGAAACAGCTGGAGTGTACTTTGAAGAAAGAGGAAGAACAAATGTATGCAGATAACAAAGAAATAAAAAGGCTTGCAAATGATATTAAAAAGCAAGCACAAGCTGCTCTAATAATGTAAAAAGGATATATTCATTTTTCATATTTACAATTATATACTAGTCTCATTATAGTATCAATCATTTTTATAATTTATATTATAGTTCCAAATAGAAAAGGTGTTGAAATGCTTATATAATTTATTTCATAAAATTTTGACCATGCATCTTTAACTGGACATACATATGTCTTTTGAAATAGCCCCTTGAAGTAAGTTTATTTTGACAAATTTATCTATTATATAAAAATACATTTTTAAATTAATAATTTATTATAAATAAATTTAATTCATGTTTGTAATTCATATCTGTGATTAAAAGAATATTGATAATGTATAAATTAAATGCATTAAATAATTATAATATCATGGTATATAATATTTAGTTCTAAGATATGATAAAACTTTTGTTGATATAACCTTTATCAATAATCCTCTTATGTTTATAACATTGATATGCATTTATGTTCGCATGTATATATTAGTACACTGAACAGTACGTTAGTACAGAAATCGATGCATTATTTACTGGAATATAATATTTCACAGAGCAATTCCAAAGAAACTTATAACAAGGCACAATAATAACTTAACACACTACTCAGTAACACGATACTATGTTAATTATAATCTATCACATTTATTGTGATGGATAACATTTATAAATATTGATGATTTTCTCTTTTTGTTTTCTGTGTAAAAACTTACAAGTTACTCTTATCTTGTATTTTTATATGTTAAAAGTATGTAAAATAGTCTGATTAAGAGTCAGTCATCAATCTCGATTATCAAGAGTTATAAAAATTATTTTAAAAGTTATTAAATTATTTTAAAAATTATTTTAATTTTATCGCATGATAATTTGATTGACATAATAAAAAGTCATTTTTATATTTTTAAATTATTTTTATTTTTATAGTTTCTATAAAAAAATGACGCGCTTTTTGTTTAAAATTTTTGATAACTCTTTGAATAATAGAGATTCTCTAGAGTGTTATCTATTAAGCATGACTATTTTTACATATATAATTAGATCGTATACAACAAAAATATATTAATATCATTAACGATATTCACATCTTATAATACTGTATCGTGCGTACAACTATTTTAGCAAATTATATCTGCAAATAGTTTTCGAATAAGAAATTAAACAATTTTGATTAATAATTTAAATACTAAACTAAATTACTGTGTCTAAAAATAATATATGAAATAATTGAAAGCTCGAAAATAGATTATTTATAGTCATGTAATAAGAATATAATTATAAAAATACATAGATTTATAAAATCTAATTAACAATATTTTGCTTAGTTATTCTTAAAAAAAAAAACGCGTTAATGCGAATATAAGAAACAATGAAAATGAATGAAGATACAATGAAAATTAACGCGTGAATAGCTCTCTCTGTACAATAGCATATCTTATTTTGATATGTAAGCTCATATATATATATATATATATA